GGTGGAGGGACATGAAAAAAGATGAGGCTCAACTACTGAATTAAGATTCCGTTTTCCTGGCAGAAATGTTCGAGCTCTTTACCATAGTAATTAATATTAGGAATAAGATTTTTTACTGGTAAGCATGACAAGTCATAAAGAGAATGAGCATATAATTGGTCCGTTGGGTTTATGTTCTAAGTTTGTTTACTAGGTATCTCTAAGGAGGCAAAAGGATAAAAATCTCCATTTAGATTCTTTTGTCGAGCATATGCACCATCTTCTCCAACAGTTGTAAGAAGAATAATTCAAACTTCTATTTAGATACATATATTCTGTGCTAGATATACGGCATTTCCATAATTTCTCTGTATATTAAAAATGTCCAGGTGTCTTCTAAATTATGCAAGTAAATTCAAGCTTAATACAAATTGTATCCAGCTGCTAGTCAATTTATTATTATTCCAAAGGTCCTTGGAAGAGGCTCAACCTCATGAAATATCATTATTTGATTAGAAACCTCATGAAATATCATTATTTGATTAGAATGGGAGAAGATTAGAAGAAAGAGAACGAATCACGAAAAATATATTCGACATTATCAACTTACCTTGACATCAGCCTGTCTCATAGAAACGTGATTATCATGTAGTTTCTTTTGATCTTCAGAGGAGCAATCAATACAGTGGAAGTGGTCTAGTCTTTTGGCTTCCTCATGGGTCATGCCTATACACAATGGATGGAACCTGAGCCAAGAATCGAGAAATGTATGTTTCAATGACACTCAAAAATTCAATATTCTGCTAAATAGGTTAGATGACATTCCAAAGGGAAACATACATCATTACTATTCTGCTAGGGACTAACAATAGCGTGCTGGTTCATATACTTGAGTCCTTGACCTCTTAGCAAACATAAAATATATATATACACACATATATATACACGCATATATATTATGATCGATAATGTTATATGTAGCCGCATTTGCCATATGAGACTCCCACGGTCAATGTGCATTTGTAATTACTACTCCCGCCGTTACACAATAGTTGTAGTTTTGGGTTCGCACCAAGAATTAAGAAATGAACTATATATAATTCTATAGACATATATGGATAAACCATATTAAATAAGAAGGAAATATTTCTTGATAATGAATAGTTAAGATTTAACATAAAGTTCTATAGGAATTGTGAACAAGTATTATGAAACTTTTTTTTTTTCTAGTAGAAGTAGAACTACATCTATAATAGAATGGAGAGAGTACTATTTACAGTTCATGAGAAGTTCAAATCTTGACACCTTACTTACATGCATACATAATCGCCATACGTTTTCCAAAATCCTAACACATACTGATTAAGCAGGCAACCCTGCTTAAGTTAGTAATTCTCAGAATTGATATAATCGATATAAAAATTGAGATCCACTTTTCAGAAAGCTTTCAGCTGTTAATAGTATTGATGGATGAATTATCTTTGCCACTTGGGAAAATACAAGTGCATTAACCAACTCTATGAATTAGATAGCAGGGACATTTATCCATATCCTTCTTTAAAGAAACTTACATCTGTAAGCAAGAACCAAATCTTCTCCTGTTTCAGTGTGAATATATGTTATAGTTTAGTAATTTTACTTTAATTTATTTGGTGGGGTTTTAGCCTGTTTGGAACCGTCTTGCGCCTCCACTTTCTAATTTCCATCAACTTAATGATAACAAACCTGATCCCAAACATTGTGTTCATGGACACTTACAGAAGGCATGAGGTGAAAAGTGGACTGAAGAAAGGCAATGAATCATGAATTCAGATACTCAAAAGAATTATAGAAATGGATGTAGACTGCGAAAGAATAGACTTCTATTGACATCTCAATGGAGGTATGTGTAAATGTAAAATAGAACACTTAATCAAGATTTTCATTTATTATATTAATTAGGGACACTATGACAACGAACATATGACTATGAGAACCTTTACTAAAAAAAATCTCGGTTAAACAGCAGTTCAAGGTAGCTAGCTCTATGTTAGTTGGATAGAGTTCTTGTGGACTGAATTTAATTTACATCGGTAAATTTTTTTTATTTTTTTTATTTTTTTTTTAGTTGAAGTTCAACACAAACGCACCAGTCACTGCATGCTTCACACTGAATCATAAGATCATCAGGATTATAGGGCATCTCACACTTACAATACCTGCATCAGCAAAATGAGTGAATTAAAAACTTGTTGGGAAATAAAGAAAGCTCAAATCTCTTCGGACAATTTTGAACGAAAGTACCGCATCTTTATACTGAGAACAAAACGACGAATTCCACTAATTCAAGACACTTGGAATTAGCAACTAGAGACCAAATATTTAAAAAAGGTGAAAAAAGTCAATCCAGATCAAGCAAGCTTCCTCATCTTCAAATATGTGAAAAGGGTGGAATGTGAAGATATCATGAACATATTAGTACTACTTCAGTTGCTTGGAACTGTAAATCTGTAACAGCAAGTTAAGCCCCATTTATCACTACTCATCCACAATGCTATACAAGCAACTTGACAACAACATTCCATTAACTCAAGCAAAAAGAACATATTCAAGCACTGAAATATGTTTATTTAACTAAGCTAGAGTGTCCTCATCTACACAAATTCATTTATAAAAACTATATATATATAACAAGAACACAAATAAAATTCAACACATCGCGAAGAGTTAATCCAGAAGTCAACACATCACACATCACAGAACGATTTATATATTTGTGCACGAAAACAACTTATACTATCAAAACACAGTTTCCCCAACATAAGTAAAACGATATCAACCGGAACCAACTAACACTTTCCAAGTAATACTTGCTCATCACTGATACTAAGTGAAGCCAAAACGCACAGTAACTCAAAACTTACACGGCGACTCTATCTGGATTGAAGGCGCCAGTGGACGAGCTGTACTCAAAACGACAGAAGAAGTCGTCGTTTCCAACGGCATCCAGCTTAGTGTAGCTCTTGAAGCTGTGAACCTTGCACTTCCCCTCGATCGTCTCGGCGCTCTGAACGTCAAAGTGATCTGAGAAAAACAGCTCTTTCGATCCGTGAAACTGCCGGCGGCCACCGACCGATTCCTCCGGCCGGTAGTACCACCGCACGTGGACCCTCACGTTCGCGCCGCGGCTGTCGGCCTCGATCCTCTCCACGCGCGCCACGTACGACGGCCTCCACGAATCCGAGGCCCTCATCAAGACGCAGTCGCCGGCTGCACGGACAGTAAAGGAAAAAATCAGCCAATCACATCAACTAAAAAATTACACAAGTCACACGAGTCAATCGGAGCAAATGAGCTAAGATTGGGAATCGAAAACGGATGAGAACGAGGTGACTCACCGCGGATCGTTTTTCCGACATGCTTGACGGTGTAGGAGTCGAGAATACGGCGGCCGGATTTGGCTCTAGCCATTCAGCGGTGGAGAGAGGGAAGTGAACATGTAGAGGAAGACTGTAGTCAGTGGAAAAAAAAGATACGGTCAATTTTCAATTAGAATTTTCCATTTTATCTATTTGTGAAAAAAAAATGTGTATTTTATTGGGAGAGATGTTCCATACAGTGTGTCATGGGAAGGGGGAGTAGTTCATGTTGTGCCAAAAATGATACTCATAAGTGATAAGATTAGCTATTCTAGTTGACTAGAGTCGAGTCGAGTCGAGCATTTTGTGTCAGTTAATAAACAAATTATTTTGACTCGACTCGTTCAGGTTTATATCACGAACTCATAATTGAAAATGAGTTGTTCGTGAATACGATCTAAAAATATTTAAGATTTTAATTTAATATTGAAAAGAATAATATTCAAATTCTCAATTGGAGTGAATTTGAATCATTTTTTATTCTTGCTCTTTCGAAATGATTCTCAAAATGAAAAAACTAGGTTTGGGAAGCTAGAGTTCACGAACATGCATGATATGATTGTTTATTTTTCCTGTACAAATAAATATATGAACAGTTCAGTTTGACTTGTTTAATAAATAAACTCGATTAGTTATTCGAGCACGACTCATTTAAGTAGAGAAATGAGTGGACCTCAAGTTTTCACCAGTGTAATCAAATGTGTTCGCAAACAACTCGGATTAGGTTGTTTAATAATCGGCTCGATTAGTTGTTGGAGCAATGTCCGTTTATATAAGTAAAACCAAATTCTGTTCTTAAACAACTCGGCTTGGCGTCTTAATAAATGAACTCGATTAGAGTTGTTCGAGCTCGGCTCAATTAAGTAAACGAATGAGTCGAGCATGAGTTTTCACCAGTAAAACCAAATTATTCGCAAACAAATGGACATGTCGACTTGTTTAATAAACGAACTCGATGAGTTGTTCGATCACGACTCTTCGTTTAACTAAACGAATGAGTCAGACTCGATCTTTTACGAAATCAAATGAACTATATTATAGAAATTCAAATAGTGCAACCAATTCCTAGTCACAATGGCAAATGTGAAAGTACAATGTTGAGTGAGGATCATGGGCGGAGCCACCCTATAGCTAGGGTGGGCTCCAGCCCCATGTAATATTTTGTTACCCTTATTTTTGCTAATCTTATTTTCTAAAAAAAAATTATACATAAACCCATTAGCCCCATATAATTTTTTATATAGCCCCATTTAAATTTTGGGTTGAATGACTCAAGATTATCTTCATGTTAAAATTTGTTATCTGACAACAATGGTGGAAAAATGATGATTATAGTGAGGAAAAAAAAAATAATCCTTTATTGTCAAATGACAATTTTGACCTTATTAGATTTTTATCAATTGAGTTTATAATGTGGCCCAACACACTATTGTCTTTAAATTTTTAATGGGTTGACTTGACAAATATCAAATGAGCTGGATAATTAAGTTTGACACAGACTTTTCCAGCGGGCTATTTAATTCGATTCGTCTCATTCCACAGTCTGTTATCCATTTTCATTTTTTTTTTTCTTTCGCCTCCAATAATTAATTCGACATCATTTCCTAGAAAAAGAGAAAACTCGTACAGAGTTGATTGCAAACATATTCGACTTTATTTGTTTGATCAACAAGTTCGATTAGGTATTTGAGTTTGACTTGTTTAAATATATAAGCGATTCGAGATTGAGTTTTTTCAATTCAAACTGACATATGTTAGCAGATAATTTGTTTATAATCATAACTAAAACCAGTTACAGGCCGAAACCGTCGATACCGGGCTGAGAGTTGGAGGAGCATGAACCAACGCAAACATATGTACAGGTCGGTTCACTGAATTGTCGATTACTGGTCGTCCGATTAATTAAAAAATACAAAATAATTAGAATAATATTTAAAAAAAATGAACCTCGGGTTCCGGTTCAAGTTCGAAACCAAAACTGCATGTTCAAAATGTATAAACTATAAAGTATTGTACATGAACCGAACTGGTCAAAACCATGGGTTTGTTCAAGACCATGGTCAACGGGTCTGCTTGTGTCGGTTTGGGCCGAACCGACATGCTGGGTCGGCCCATGACCATGTCTACAAGGTTCCAATAATAGCTAGCAGCCCCAGGTTAAAAAAATTCCTGGCTACACCCCTGGTGAGGATCAGTGAGTAGAAACTGCACGACTGTCATGTTAACATAAGTCATAAGGTGGTTTGTCCCTAGTCAAGTACAAAGTCAATAAAGCTAAGAGCAGATTAATCTTTTTAATTGATTTTTTTACAAGGTTAATCCGAAAATTAGAATTTAATCATCCAAACAAATCTCTAGGTAAGATTTTATTTACTAAGCTCCAACAAGTAGCCCCCACCTAACTCTAGGTTAATAATATCGGGGTAAGATTTTTTTACCGTGCCATTAAACAAATCAATGAGTCATAGTTAGGGCTGCAAACGAGTTGAGCCGAGTCGAGCATTGATCTTATCGAGCAGGGTTGAAATTTTTTTTCTGCTGCTCGAGCTCGAGCTCGAGCTCGTCGAGCTCGATTTTATGCTCGAGCTCGACTCGATTAAAAAATACAAGAGCTCGAGCTCGGCTCGAGCTCGACTCGAATTCAAAATGCTCGAGCTCGGCTCGAGTTCGGTTCGAATTTTTTCAAGCAATTTTGTAAAATAACCATTAAATACATATATGTAAGGGTATTTTAGTAATTTTATATATCTCGAGCCGCTCGCAAGCTGCTCGACAATGTAAAATATAGGCTCGAGCTCGACTCGAGTTCGTGCTCAAGCCGCTCGAGCTCGGCTCGAGTTCGGTCAAACTCGAGCTCGAGCCGAGCTTTGACTCGAGCGCTCGCGAGCTGCTCGCAAGCTGCTCGACTCATTTGCAGCCCTAATACAAAATACAGATGTCCGTGATTACCAAAGTCTAAGGTCATTATTGTTTGGATTTAAGTAACTTTGTCAAGGGGCTCCACAACCAATAAATTTCCAGAAATATGGAGTATAATTTATAGAAAAAGAAATTAACAAAAAAGTTGCTTTTTAAATATAAGTCTATTTATACTAATGAGCAGTTGATCCCGTGCATATGCACAGATACAAATAAAATTTATACTATCTCCTATTTTTTAAATATCGTTTTGGTTTTATCAACAATTAACTAAATAAATGAAGTTTTAAATCTTTTGTACATATTTTAACATTATTATTCTCATTTAGCTAATAAATACACTACGTCTTTTCATATCCACATTCATCTTTCTCAAAACATTCATCTCTATCATCATTCATGGGTTATTATTGGGAAAAAAAAGTTAATTACTTTGCAACTTCTCAAGACGACATTTATTAAAAATAGAAAGGAATATGTTATATGTTTGTTTTTGTAATATTTAAATTCATATATTAGATAATGGGTAAAAAATGAACAATATACATGTAAACTATTCAACTTACATATTAACCATTATATTGATACAATTCTCGTTGATCATGACCAGTTAACTGAATCAAACAATATTGAAACTATTATTTATAGTAGTTGCATGCAAAATTTTAAAGTGGTTGCTTATACATAAAAAAATAAATAACTAATTTTAATAAAAAAAATACTTAATGAGTTAAAATAATAGTGCTAAATAAATAGTTTGAAAAAAGCTATTGTCCCAGCTCGACCCGACTCGAGGTTCGAGTAACATAATTCTATATGAATCAATCTGAAACCCGATCATCTTGGGTTTACCCAAACCGAAAATGCGGGTAATCGACCCTGCAAGTTTTATTGTCATGACTACTAGAGGGCCTTTTGCAGATGCTACCCCTCCCAAGCACACACACACCATATCCAAAGACGAAATGAGACTAACAAATCTGAAGCTCGCAAACATGTAAACTCCGATCAAACTAAAAAAAGCTATACAGATCTAACAAGAATACGAGACTCAGGTCTAGACCTGAACTCCCAAAGTCCCCTAGACCGTGGAGAGATCGGAAGCCAAAGAGGTCTCAAGCCTCGCCGGCGGGAGCCTCCACCCACAACCCCACCCCTAGTCGGAAAGAGGGGCAAGTGGAGAAACACCTGCAACCAGACCCCAATCCATGGCACGGGGGTTAATCGAGGAAGAAAGCCCCCGATACCGGTCTAGCCATAGCTTGGAAAAGTGGGGCGCTACGGGAGGTTGGTCGAGAGGAAAAGGGTTCCGGTCAAAAAATTTGATTAGTTGACTTCCCCGGGCTTTTTAGAGAGAAAAATTATTTTGGCCTAGAAAATTGAACGACTTGATTTCACTTGTAAAATAATATATATTGATAATATTAAAGAGAATTGAGTTGAATTAAAACTAAACTATATTATAAGCTAAAAAATTATATCAAATCATGATTGAGATGGAGTTAAATTATCCGACTAACAAAAAAAAAAAAAAAAAA